CCCTTTGCCTTTGACTAAAGCAGACAATGAAGGCTATCTCCATTTGCATTTGGGTATCTTAAGTGGTGTAATCTCTATCTTGTCACGAAGACATTGAATTGTGCCTTTTGTTAGGAGAAGAAATATTCTTACCCCAGGAGAACAAATCTAAATATACCACATAAGTTTTTCAAAGATGTTATTTAATGCAAATTCCTCAGTGAATTACTTCAGATGGAAATTGCAAAATCAGAGATGATAGGATCTTCCATTATTAATGATAATGCAGAGAAAATAGCTTTAATCTCCCTTTAGTATGTTGCTATAGATGTTTCCATCTTGTCTCCCCTTATCCTAATTAATCATGTCAACATTTGGCCATCCACCCCCCCAAAAAAATAAGTTGTTTTTGAAAGACTGTTTTAAAACAAGCAACTATTTGCAAATTTGGCTTCCAACTTTATCGTTCAACTGAAATGTCTCTCCAAATTTACCAATGATCTTTTGTTTGTCAAACTGCTGGCCTTTTCTCAATCTTCAACCATCTTGTAACATTTATTGACTATTCTTTTGTCTGAGTTTTCATGACTCTCTCTCTCTCTCTTTTCTCCCTCCCTCCCTCTCTATCAGCTCCCATGAATTTAATGATCATCTCTATGCCAGTAACATATATATATATATATATACATATATATACACACACATATATGTATATATGCATGCATGTATGTATGTGTATATGTGTGTATGTATATGTATATATGTATATATATATATATATCCCTAATTCTCTCTCCTGAGCTCCAATCCTGCACCATCAATTGCCTATTGGACATCCATAGGCATCTCAAACTCAACCTGTCCAAAACATAACTCATTATCTCTCTCCTCACCCCATCCCTCTTCTAAAATTCTTGATAACTGTCAAGGATGTCATCATCTTTTTAATCACAAGACTCTCAACTTTGGTGTCATCTTCCACTCCTTACTCATCCCACCTGTCCAGTTAGTTGCCATATCTTATCGTTTCTAATTCTACATCTCTTGCAGATGCCCCTTTCTTTCCATTGACAATCACAAGTTTAGGTAGGCCCTCATTAACCTCTCACCTGGACTATTGCAATAACTGGTCTCCTTGTTTCCAGCCTCTGGCTCCAATCCACCCTCCACATAGCTGCCAAAATGATTTTCCTAAAGCATAGGTCTTATAATGTCATTACCAGATTTAATAAACTCCACTAGGTTTTTTTTTTCATCTCTAGGATCAAATATAAAGTCCTCTATTTGGCATTTAAAGTCCTTTACAACCTGACCCAAACTTTCTTTCTAGCTTTACAACACACCATTCCCCTCATGCACACTTTGGTTCAGCCAAATTGTCTTTTTTACTGTTTGTCTCCCAACTCTGCGCCTTTGCATTGGCTGTCCCCTATGCTTTCAATGTTCTCCCTCCTCATCTCTCTCAGAACCTCAGCTTTTCTTCAAAGCTCAGCTTGTGGCACCTTCTATACTAATCCTGATCCTTCTAGCTGCCACTGTCTTCTCCACCCACTCCCCCCACCAATGACTCATATCTATTTTATATACTTTTTGTCGATGCATGCATATTGTTTCCCATCTCTTGACTGTAAGCCCCTCAAGGGCAAGGACGGTCTCACTCTTGTTCTTGTAACCCTAGTGCCTTAATAAATATTGTTTATTGCCTCACTGTAAAGATGAGAAAGAATTAGCAGTAAATGAAGAATGTGCTGTAGTTTGTCTATTTTTGATTTGTTTGTTTTTGGTCTGGAACTGGAATTTCATGAATGTAGGGAGCTCAGTGTGGAAAATTTCCTCCACCAATGTGGTCAGCAACCTTGTCTGTAACTGACCATTTTAGAGGTTGTTTGGGGGCACTAAGAGGTTAGGTAATTTCCCTAGGGTTATATAGCCAGCATCTATCAGAAGTAAAACTAGAACCAAGGTCTTCCTGACTCTAAGGCAAGTTCTCTGTTTATTATGGTCACATACAGATGTATGTATGTGTGTATGTATACAAATGTATGTATGTATGTATACATATCTGTGTATGTGTATATATCTCTATCTATCTATCTATCTATCTATCTATCTATCTATCTATCTATCTAATTATCGTTATTAATGTTATCCATAACAGTAATGTCACATAGTGGCTAGAGTGTTGAACCTGGAGTTAGGAAGCCAAGGCTTCAGATCCTTCCTCTGCCACTTACTAGCTATATCACCAGATAAGATATTTTAAGCTCTTTTAGCCTCATTTTCTTATTTGTAAAGTGGGGATTATATTATCGCACCCATCTCACAGGATTGTTGAGGGGGTCAAATGATATAATACATAAAAAGCACTTTGCAAACTTTAAAAACATTACATCAGTGTTAGTTATTCACTTCTACATGCCTCAGGCCACTTCTTGGGACTTATCTACTAGGTCCTCTTCGAGAACAAAGAACAGTCTACCAAGTCATATTTGGGATGGTAGAGAGAATTATGCTCCCTCCTTCCCGCCATGAAATTACTGATATTATTATTCAAGAAATCCTAATGGAGCCCCAGATGCTAAGTTCTTATGTTCGATAAATCAATCGGGACATAGTAAAGCCCTGACATAGAAAATCTTGTTAAGTTACTGTCTATTATATCAAAAAAGTTCTGTCACTTTCTCCATGTAATCCATATGTAAATCATATTTCTGTCCCTTACCCCAGCCCTACAATGGAGCTCTGCATTCCAAAGTGTTCTCTTGTATGTTCTTATGAAAATAATAATGAACCCCAAACAAACCATCACACAAAATTATCAAACACCAATTGGCATTTACAAAGAAACATTTTTATTTTTAGCCATTATGGAAAACCATTAACTTTTTCATTTTAGAAAACATTAAATAATAAACCAGTAAGATGTTATACAGTACTTTTGATAACTTCTTCCATTCGTTTAGTGCAATATCTTATTGGCACCTACAAGTGGATTTTTCAATTTTCTCCTTCTATTTTTCCCTGTGCAGTTACTTGGCCAGAAGAGAAGCAAATGGTCTAAAATGTTTTCTGTGTAGAAGTCCAAGGTCATGTTTCCTGTCCCTTAGTTTATATGGACCTCAGTAAGCTATATTTCTCATCTCACACCTTCCCTTTTTTCCCAGCAAACGATGAGACATTCAGTATTTTCCACTGTTGGCAGAAATTTTGCTGCTTGAAGAAGTGAGAAACTAAACTGGGCCATCCAGAGAACAAAGGCCCCTGACACTGAAGTGCTTGGTGGTTAACCCTTTGCCCAAGAACCTGACCTCCCTCTCCTGGGAGGTTCCTGCCACTTCTGGGATGAACAGAATTTCCCTGACATTCTCTCTGCTCTATACTCAGTCTAAACCTGACCAGAGCACTTTTTTTTAAAGAAAAAGTGAAATTCTCTCATACTATACCATCAAACACATAATAAGCCTATATAGCATTTATTTTGTGTAATAAGGAAAGATATCTAATAGTGTTAGGGGATATCATGAAATGAAAGCATCTGCTGGAATCTTGCCATTTGGCAGGCATGGTACAGTGGAAAGAGCCCTGGCTTTGGAGCACAAAGGACCTGGGTTCAAATCCTGCCTCTGTCACTTCGCTACACGTGTGACCTAGGGCAAGTGCCTTAAACTCTCTTGGTCTCACTTTCCTCATTGGCAAAATGAGGGGATTGGAATTTCTGACTTCCAAGGTCCTTTCCAGATTTCCTTGTAATCAACCATTATTTGGCCTATAGTTAGTAAGATCTGAGGATGACACAGGCTGCCATCTGCCCTGGGGATGAGAAAATCTACAAGGATCAATATACAGAAATAGCAAATTAGGACAAAGAAGCTATGATGCAGCTCCCTAGTCAAAGTCCATTGTTTGACCTTGATAAAGCTGTCGTTGGGTTAGAAGGTGTTTGGGGAGTTTATTTAGGTATTTGGGTTTTTTCGTTCTATCTTGATATAGGGCTAGACAACCCAGCCAGACAAAAAGAGCTCTCATGTTTTCAAAGACTTTTGGAGAAACAAAGTCACCCAGTTCTCCTTCCTTCAGTAAACATCTAATTTAACAATTCTTCCAGTTGGGAAATTCCCCTTTATACTGCCGTCTCAACTTGTTTCCTCTTGTTAACTGCATGGTATATAAACGACAGAAGGTCATCATTCTCTGTGTAACTGAGCTTCATAGACTTAAAAATCAACTTTGATTTGCCCCCAAAATCTTTTCTTCTCCATGCTAACCACTTTCAGTTCTTTAAATATTTCATCACAGATCTTTCTCTCCCAACCCTCTAACAGTGTCTGTGATTCCTGGCAAGACTGCAGAAACTATTTTTATTATCTGAGTGTAAATAAATAATAAAAATCGAGAAAGTATTATTGCCTTTAGGAGGCATTTATTTTTATACTTAAGTAGAAATAGGTCAGAAGTAAATATAAATTGGGATTCATCTAGTCTAAAATGGTGATAGACCTTGTTAAATGGCTGCCTATGAGCTGTAATGTACACATTAAGCCAATCCACATCTCATATATCCTCCAACTTTCTTCATGTCTTAATCAGATACTCTGGCATATAAATTACAAGTCAACATTTTAAAAAATTATTGAGATATGATTAATGCTTTAAATACTGGTCCAACAGATTCCCTTCTCATCTTCCTGATAAGAAGTTTTGGAGATTCCTCAAGAGAGAGGGACATCGGATTACAGCAAACAACTGTTAGTCACCATGTTTGGCTTTGAAACTATGACTCCAAGCAGTGAGGGACGTGGACATGCCCAGGAGCAAGTGTGACACAGCAGAAAAAGCATTGGTTCTAGAATCCAAGGACCTGGGTTCAAATCTGGCCTCTGCTATTTACTTGTGGAATCTTGGGCAATTCATTGAATCCCCTTGTGCCTCAGTTTCCTCATCTGTAAAATGGGATGAAGGACTAGATGGCCTTTGAGTTCCTTTTCAACTATAGATCTGTGATCTATGACTCTGAGTCATTCTGGGCCTTAGTTTCTTCATCTATAAAAAGGGGAATTGGACTACTAGATGAACCCCTAGGTACCTTCCAGATCTATGGTCCTATGAATTCAGAAGTAGAGATTTAACCACTTATAAGATGCCAGAAATTCACTCTTGTACTATAAAGCAACGGTTTGCTGCCCTTAGCGGGAAGGAAGGACCTGATTCTAATAAAAAAAATTGTCTAGCTAACTGATGCCAAACTCAAATAGAAACCAACCACTCTACCTGTGTATAAGGATTCCTGTGGGCTGCATATTGACTTAGAAAACCACATATTAACATTACTATGTTCTACCTCATTTTGATTTATTTTGGGAAATATTTTCCAATTACATTTTAATCTCCTTCAGGCTATTGTAGGGAGTGTTGTCAGCAGCACTGCAAGTCACAAAAAACTGTGGCAAAAAAACCCTATTATTTATTAAGGAAGTATTGTTGTCTTTAAGAGGCTTTATTTTTATTCTTAAGTCAAAATCTTGTGGGGGTAAATATAAACTGGGATTCATTTAGTCTAAAATGGCAATAGGACTTTGTAAAGTGCTGCCTGTCGGCTGCCATTATGAACCTCTGGTCTAGATTAATCAGAGGTAAGACAATTATGATATGAAAATATGTATTTAGCTCACACCAGTGCCTTATTCTGTCAAAATGAGATGATATTTACAATTTATATCTGGCCTACAACACAGGGTCACAGAAAAGGATGAGATTTCACATGATGCATTTTTTTAAGCTCAAGAGATCACAAGCTGTTTTTTTTTAACCTTACAGCTAGAGTCTGTAAATATTAGGAACCCATAAATATATAATATCAATAGCACATTTACAGAAAACACAACTCTACTGATATTAAAGGGATGCAATGCTACTCTATATAATTGTCTTTTTTGAAAAAATGGATACAACATAAGAATAAGTGTAATTTGACATAGTACACATCCTTCTTTCTTAAAAAAAAAAAATGGCAGTAAGTAGACAGCCAGAGTTTGGGTCCTGGCTAGAGCTAACTTAAATTAGGACAAACCATTTCCACAGGTATACCATATCACATGTGAAATGGTTATTACATTTGGTACAACAATGGATAGTTAATAGGATGCCCTTTTGAATGGGATGTTTTCATTTGTTTGTTTAGAAAACTCCCCACCAAGATGTACTCCTCTTCCTTTATTTCCAGAGCATCTTAGATCCAGGATGAAGGATGTGATCTGTCCCATATACACTGCAGCACCAGAAGAGACAATGGATGAAGGGGCTGGGGGTTTGCCTGATGGTTGTCATCGGGGGTTCTTTATGGAAAGGAGAGTTTTACTCTTCATTGGGAATTGCACAAAGCAGGCCAACAAGAAGTGGATCGCCACTTGCTCCTGACCCAGCTCTTCTCAGCCTCATGGAAAGGAGACAGGAGAGAGGAGAGGGAGCCAAGCAGATGCTTATTGCCAAGGCTGGTGGAGATAGGGTTCTTCAGAGCACTGGCCTCTTTTCAAGCTCACGTCATCCAATCCAATCTCCCCGGAGTGGCCATACCGTTTTTCACCTTTGAAGATGACCTAAGGAGAACCATGTACCAGACAAGACTTCTGCTCACTTCCACTTCCACTTATTTAATGACCATTTTGGCTAGAACTTTAACAAAAAAATCAAATATCAAGTTGCTTCTGACCTGTTTTTACCCAACATGAATGGCTAGAAAAGCGTTAACCTTCAAGAATTTGAATTGTCCATAAAGACATTGTATTACAAAGTTGTTCTATCAAAAATCACATACAAGTGCTGAACTCTAAGGTCTTTTTCTATGGACTACAAGCCATTCCCTCTTAGGACAAGTAACCAAGGTAAAAATATTGGGAAAGAGTCCAGAAGTTAAAAAAATGTGATAAAGTATAGAATGAGAAATTGAATAACAGAATGTGTCCCTGTTGCAGAACTCGTGTGTGTGTGTGTGTGTGTGTGTGTGTGTGTGTGTGTGCAAATGTGTTTTCTCTGGTGAATCATGGGTCATCAGTAATAACCTTTGTGTGGCCTTTCCTCCTCAACATCTCCACCTCCACTCCCACCTCACAGTAATTTGCTTCATACCACTCTCATCAGTCAGTAAGCATTTACTAAGCGCTTACTACATGCGGCTTCACAGGCAATTAATCTCTAGGTGTCTTCACATGACCCTCTTGCTGACAGTCAGTTAATAGTAAATAAGCATTTATTAAGTTCTTACAGTGAGCCAGGAACTATGCTGAGGGCTGGAAAGACAAAAACAAGTCGACAGCTCCTGTCCTCAAGAAGCTTACATTCTAATGGGGGAAGACAATACATAAAAGGAAGCTGAAAGGTGACAGGGGGTGTGGAGGGAAGAAAGGTACCCAGCTGGGGGAGGGGCATGGTAGAGAAAGTCTGGAGTACAGTCTGGAGAGGAATGAGACATAGTTGGCCTGGGCACCTTCCTCCAATGGAGAAAGTGCCATCCAATGAGAGGGAGAGGCCAAAGAGGCAGAGGGTATGGTCAGTCAGCACATATTTATGAATCCCTCACTTTATGCCAGGCACTGTACTAAAGCACAAGAGACACAAAAAAGGTGAAAAAATAAAGTAGTCCCTCCTTCCAAGGAGCTCACAGCCTAATGGAGGAGACAACATGCAAATATCTAAATATATAGAAGATATATGGAATAGATAAAGATGATCTGAAAGGGGAAAGCATGGGAACACATGTAATACGTGTATGTTGCTATATGTCACATATGACTGTTAGCTCTACTCGTGTCTTATTCTTTACTAGGTTGAGAGTTCCGAAAGGGCAGGGACTATGTTTTGTCTAAATCTGTGCATTTCTCCCAGGGCTTGGAATAATAGTACTCAGTACATATTAGGCACTTAAGAATGGTTGCTTAAATTGAATGTCATGTAGCCTAACTTGCTTTTCTCAATAACCTGATATCCCAGTTATAACTTACAGTCTTAAGAGAGCTGCTAGGGGCTGGGAGGTGGGGGCTGTGTCTCTGAAGGGTTCAATAACCTGCCTGGGGTCATAGCCAGTATATGTCAGAGGTAGGACTTGAACCAAGGTCCTGCTGACTTTAAGGCTGCCACTTCTACTGACTCTGTATGGATTGCCTCTTCTTTATTCATAATCATAATTACGTGAAACCACCCATGGTGCCAAACGTCACAATCTAACCCTAAGGAGATGCCATCATTGTATAAGTTGTGAAAACATTCAAGCATGCTCTTATTTTAACCAGAAGACAACAGTATTGGTAGTGCCAGTAAAAATAGAATAAAAAAGAATAAAATAAAAATAGGAGAAAATAGAATAAATATTAGATTCTGAAAGCAGTTATGTTTCTTGTGTCCCGACAAAGTATAAAGGAAACATAGAAAGATACATAGAATCCTAGAGCCACCAACCTGATCTATATCATTGTCATTATTTTCCAGAAAATTATTCAGAAGCAAAATAGTGTAAGGAGTTTTATGTTTTACAAGGAATATGATTAAAACTTCATTAGACTGTAGCTCTTTGAGGGTAATGGCTGTTTTAGGCTTTAAAAAAATTCCTAACACTTAGCACAGTACCTGGCTCATAGTAAGTGCTTAAAAAAACTTTATTGATTGTTTTATTATCATGGCTTGCCTTATATAGCCACAATGTTAAGCACAGTTTATTATAAAGACTAATGTTATATCACCTTTGCCCAAAATCTCCTTTATTTGGAGTCAAGGCATAAAAGAGAAATTAAGTATTCCAATTAGTACTCAAGACCTTTTCAAAACAATTGTTACTTAAACCAGGTCATCTATGTCCCCTCATAGCCTTCTCTTCTATTTACTCCTTTGTCTGTGCTCTGTATTGAACTGAAAAGAAAACTACTAATGTTGTTTGAGGAATGCTTTATGACATGCTCTGGGATTTCAGATTTTTTTTAAGTATTTCAACCTTTCAAATATTTCAGCATTTCAACCTTTCAAGGAATATCTATTGATGGTTTATGATTTTCAAAATTTTGAATATGAGGAAATGGGAAGAGGAAGAGAAAAGCAGAGTTTTTGCTGGTCAAAATACATACATACATACATACATACATACATACATACATACATATCCTTGTATCAGTCTCCACTCTCTTCTCCCTACCCACCACCATTTTTCAAAGTCTTTTCTAACAAGACCATGACAGATATTTGGTTCTGTCTCTTTTCCCAGGGTAAGTCTGCAGTGAATTATAGAGTGAGTAGAGACAATTAGTGAAGCCAGGTGAAGGAGAAGAAACCCAAAGCTTTACTGAGCCTTAATTGGTAGAGAGACCAAGATTTTTCTCCACTCTGGCTTTTTAATGAAGAATAATTCACAATGCTTGTCACTCACTCCAAGCTTCCCTGTTGTTAAGAGAACCTCAAAGGCACTGATAACTCTGCAGTTTTACTTACACTCTTGATAGCTGAATCCCGCAGCGTGATCTGTGTTTGCCTCCAGCCATGGCCACCATTTCTCCCCCACAGGGCTGCTCCATGGGTACCATGCTTTCTCATAAACACGTGGAGTGCACCAGAGTGGAACCCAGATACCTTGTGCTTGAATGACAGACACAAATCACCCGAGTTCATGAGGTGGCCAAGAGGCAGCACCAGGCGAGCTGCTTTTCCACTCAGGTCTTTGGGTTCTGAGACGATCAAATACTGTCCACCTAGAATAGGAAGATCAACAACATTGGTATTTTTATACATGTTGGAAATCCTTTCTTTCACATGTGGGTCGCTCTTTCTTTAATCAGAAATCTGTTGGTTGCTAAAGCTGTGTGAACTGTCCTAGACTTTAGGAGATAAAATGAAACATTAAGGTTAAATGATGTTAAAGTTATGTCTAAAAGTCTGTGCTTTAATTTTCTCCTGATGATGTAACTCCTTCTATTAATTTGTGTCAACCCCTTCTTGGCCACTTCATTTTATAGAGCTTTCGAGGCACTAGGAATTAACTTACCTGGGTCACACAGCCACTACACGCTGAGGCAGGGCTTGAATTTAGGTATCTTCTTATTTTATACATCAAGGTAAGGGGATAAAGACAGAAGCAGGTATTAAGTGCCTACTATGCACCAGGCACTGGACTAAGTGGTTTAAAATATTATCCCAATTGATCCTCACAACAACTATGGGGGGTATTATCTCCATTTTACAGTTGAGATTAATAGAGGTTAAATGACTAGCCCAGAGTCACACAACTAGTACTAAGTGTCTGAGGCTGAATTTTAACTCAGCTTTCCATGACTTTACACTTAGTGTTCTATATATTGCACATTTAGCTGCCTCTAGGTAGCTAAGGGCGACCATTTCTTAAGTGATGTCCTTCATACCACTTCCTTTCCACATCATTAATATGCTGCAACCTTCTAATACTCATCAAGCATCTCTTCACTGGTCTTTGAGTCACCTGCAATTTTGACTCTTCTGAAGATATGGTCTTCTAGGATCACGGCATGATGGATGACATCTTAAAAGCCACCTAATCCAACCCTCTTGTTTTACAGATGAGGAAACTGAGGCCAAGGAAGATCAAGTTAAATGTCCAAAGTCACACAGAGAGTTAAGTAGCAGAGTTGGTATTTGAACTCAGGTCCCGCAAATCCCACTGCACCAGGTATCTAGACTTCACTAGAAGAATATTAGTGTTAAAAATACTGGTCCTGATATTGGGAAAACAAAGTGATAAGTGCCACACAAAAGCCAAAAGTTTTTTTTAATTAAAAATCCTGAAAGCCTTAATCTTTTCACCAATTCTTCACTTCAGTAAATGTACCTGTTTCTTCTAGGTCAAGTGACTTCTGTCACTATTATTCACTGTGCTGCACCTTAAGAAAACTGTTGAACAACTTCAACTGATCTACTGATACTTATATTCCACTTAAGCCCTTATCCTATTCTAAATTATACTATTTTTATCTCTTTATATATCTCATCACCCCTAACTAAACTATAATTATAAATTATATACCCAATAATTCCCAGCATACATCATTTCCAATATGTTGGAAGCCTTCTTTTTACTCTTCCTCATTTACACCCTGTAGTTTATCTTAGAGAACCAGGATACAAATGTACATATAATGTATTTAGTGTTTGCTGAATTGATGCTCAATTAGGATCATAGATCCAGAGGTGGAAGGGACCTCAAAAGACATCTACTCAACCCCCTCACATTTTGCAGATGAGTAACCTACAAACCAAGGAGTTTAAGTGACTAGCGCAAGGTCTCAGAGCTAGTAAAAGTCAAGCCCTCTAACTCCAGAGCCAATGGTCATTCCCTCATCTCCAGGGAGATGCTTACCTTGACACTAAGCCCAGCACCCTGTCCAATAGTTCCACAGGAAAGAGTTAAAATTGGTGGTCATTTGACCCCAGCTGTCATAATATCTAAGTGATTTCAGCCCATTTCTAATTTTTTCATGAATTCTAATTCTAACGGCTCTGCCCACTTGATAAATGGTTAAGAAATTGGGTATGTCACAAAGTACACTGGTAGAAGGAATACCCATGTCAATTAGATCATGGAAGCATAGAAGTATCAATATTATTATTGTTATTAATAACAGTAATAATGGCTAGCATTTATCCAGAACTTAAGGTTTACAGGGCAATTGACAAGTATTACCTCATTTGATTCTCACAACAACCTGAGGAGGTAGGTGCTACTATTAACCTCCATTTTATAGATGAGGAAATTGAGACAAAAAAGTTAAGTGACTTTCCCAGAGTCACACAGCTAGTAAGCATCTATGGTGGGATTTGAACTCAGGTCTTCCTGACTCTGAGGCAGCTAGGTGGTACAGTGGATAAAGCAATGAACTTAGAATCAGAAAGACTGACCTTTGTGAGTTCAAATCTAGCCTCAGACACTTACTAGCTTGTGTGACCCTGGGAAAGTCGCTTAACCCTGTTTGCTTGTTTCTCATCTGTAAAATGAACTGGAGAGGGAAATGGCAAACCACTCCAGTATCTTTGCCAAGAAAATCCCAAATGGGCTCATGAAGAGTCAGACACAACTGAAATAACTGAGCAATAGTAGCAAAACTTCCTAATTCTAGGCTCAGCTCTCTGGTCGTTGTGCCACCTAGCTGTATCAAAAACTAGAAAGAAGATTCAGAGTATCCTCTTCATATACCAAAGGCATGGGCATGTAGGACCAGGAGAGGAAGATTAGACTGGTATCATGGTGAGTGCTACATTAGAATCCATTAAACACCAGAGGGGGAAGGCCTTTGATCTATTGGTAGATCTTCTATGAAGACATGGACAAAAATCATACAGGAGGACAAAGTCTGATTGATTTGTGACCTGTACTACTAATATCTGTGAAACCATGGATCCATTGAAAACAGAACTCCTGCTTGCCCTCACCTCTCCTACACTTGTCATACCAAAAAAAATCACAACAAAACGGTAACAATTATGAAATAATTTTAATAAAAATAATAAAATAAAAGTTGCAATAAAAATCCCATAATCTTAAGCATTTGCATGAAAATAGAAAAGTCTTTCCATGTGTCAACTTTTGACTAGGCACAGGTATTCAGGCTGTCTGGAGTGTGAGATTATTGTGGGTAGATAATGTTCAATTTAAAAAAAGACAATAACTAGGATTATCTTAATCCTCCCTGGAAATGGATACTAATACTCTCAATCTGCTCCTTGGTGAATGCAAACAAGAGGGTCTTATAGAGCAAGTCAAACTAATAGCAATTTGAAATGATCTTTTTGCAAAGGCTGCCAGAACTTTGGAGTCTCACTATGATAAATGAGGCTACTATTTATCTCACTTTGTCTTTAAGGTATCTGAACGATGTCATGGAAAAAATTCTTTCACTTTGAATGGAACAGGAGGGCTTATTTTTCTTCAAAAGCAGGAATAATAGCCTAAGGGGAAAACCTGATCCCTTTTTCCCCCACCCAGCAAAGCAGGTTAAGAAAATAAATGAGAACTCTTGTCTGTTAGGACCTATTGGCTTAAAAAATGTTTTGGAAAATATTTTTCAAAGATATTAATGACATTTCTGTAAACATGAAAATGCTGCATAATATGATGAGGAAAAACTCAGAGGAATTTGAATTAATCTCTTTATAGAGGTTAAATTACAGTAATTTAGATTAACTTCTTGACAGAAAGCCATATTGCTTTGTAGATTGAGAGCTCTCCTGTGAGTAAGCAAGACCTGGGTTCAAATCCTGCTTCTAATACATACTGATCATAGGGTCAAGTCATTTAATTTCTCAGTGCCCTAGGCAACTCTCTAAAAAAGGGGTTCTTCGCTTTTTTTGGGTCATGGTCTTTATGGGAGTCTGATGAAGCCCGTGGATGGACATCTTTTCAGAATGTTTTAAAATGCATAAAATAAAATACAAGATGACAAAGGAAGCCCATTATATTGAAATAAGGGTGTAATTTTTTTTTCTTCGAAGTTCATAGATGCCTTGAAATCTATCCATGGATCTCTTGAAGAGCCCATGGACCCCAGGATAAGAGCCACTGTCTTGTTTTTTTGTTTTTTTTTTCCACATAAGTCATGTTGTGAAAGAAGAATCAGAAGAAAAGGGGGGAAAAAACTACAAGAAAGGAAAAAAAAGCAACAACAAAAAGTGAAAATAGTATGTTTCAATCTTAATTCAGACTCCATAGTTCTTTCCATCATGGGTCTTTTGGAATTGGCTTGGATCATTGTATTGCTGAGAAGTCTATCAAAGTTGATTATCGCACAACGTTGCTGTTACTGTGTACAATGTTCTCCTGAGAACCACTGTTCTAAGACAAATTTTAGAACACATGAAGACCTACTTTGGTAGGGCGAGTTTCCTCACCAAGAGGACCTAATATATATGAAATCACAGGTCCCATTCCCTCTCCATCAAAAAACACCCACGAATCTATGTTTTGTTTTATAAATTTCTGATTTGTATCTATTGTACAAAGGGAATTCCATCATGACCACTGAGTAGACTTTGTAGTTTGGGATGATTATGCTATATTTCCCAACTACAAAATCAGTTGAAGGATCCATGATGTTTGTTATGCATTCGCCACTGCCCCCCCACCACCCAAAATACCAAAACTCTACAGAGTAATATCCTCTAATAAGAAAGACGTGTGGATCATAGGATGCCAATCAGTTCCTTCAAATCAAGTGACAGGAAACAGTAATAGGAGGTCTAAAGTACTTTTACTTTTCTAACATTCAATTAACCATTTAGTCAAAGTCTAACAAAATGGTTTTCAATAAGCTTGTGACTGGAGGTGATCTTCCACCCACAAAGAAAGGCAGATAGAGTGGCTGGAAAGAACTGGGACTCATAACCTGGGCTCACACCCATCTCCTGAGGGTCAAAGTCTTTACTTGGGGTACTCCCAGGGTCATTGTAAGGATAAAATGAGATAGTATTTGTAAAGCATTTAGCAAATCTAGAAGCATTATACAAATGCTAGCTAATTATGATTATTTTTATGTTGATAATTGTAGCTCTTTGTCATTAATTTCCTTTATAATTTTATGTATTATATTTTATGCATTTGTACTCATTCCATAGGCTTCACTAGGCTGCCAAAGGTCCGTCATCCACTGACCTTAAGGTATTCTGTCTACTTACTGCACCATAATGTCTCTCTTCCCTTTCCTAATTACACTAACTATATTTAGAGATTTATCCCACCATGTACAACCTCTCATCAGCATACTCCACTTTCCTGCCAGGTAGGATCAGTGGGCATGGGAATGCCAATCTTCTGTTCTCAAGCCCTTGACATCTAGAAATTTTCAATTACAATAAAAAAATGAAAAATAATCGAGAATCAATACCATATACAAAATAGTCTTCTGACAAGTTGTGAATATGTTGAATTCGTACAAAGCAAGCCATACTTTTACACATACTGATGGGAACTAATTATTTAGAGGAAAACTGTAACAAATCCTTTTGTAAATTAAAGCACCCTTTAAAAAAAAAAACAACAATGCTCCCTAATTTATTTTGTTAGTTAAGGGTTTTACACATCAGATTTTCTTACAACAGGCTCAAAGTATTATTTATTAGTGTTATAATCATCACCATCATTTTCCTACTAGTACTATCTATTAAACTGACCACTTCCAGAAAGGCAGCTTTAAGCAACTTTCAATTTTATGTTGTTAATGAATCGAAGGTACTTAATATATCTGCAATCTGCAAAGCTGATGCAAGCACCATCCCTCTCAGTAACTATGGATGGTAATGAGGGTCCCAACTAGCCTATGGTACAATCGGGAGCCATGAGAAGACTGCAAAGACTTTTTAGACATAGTTATGCCTAAAAGAACAATTCAGAAGAATTCTGTGAAATAATCAAGCCATTCTTGGGAAAGGCTCAGAAAAGTCAAAGATGGCAAACCAACACAAACCAGGATTCCAGAAGGCTGAAGATAAAGCAAGTTACCTACCTCCTTCCAGGGACAAGACAAACTTAAAATGCAGGAAGGGATATAGATTTTCAGTCATGATCAATGTGGAGATTTGTTTGGCTGCATTATACCGATTTGTTATGAGGCTTTTTCTTTTCCTTTTATTTGTTCAATTGGGGTGGGGGTTGGGAGGGAGGAAAAATGCTTACCAAAAATAAGAACAAACATTTTTAATTCAAACAGATTGTAGACCAAGGCAGGGATTATTAAAAATTAGACATGATATTTTGTGCAGTTTAACATAAGTCGTTTTTAACCCTTAAAGTGCTCTATAAGCATATTATCAAACAAAATCTAGTTTTAGTTTCTAGAATACTTTGGAAGGATGTGTGTGTGTATGTGAGAGAGATATGCGTATATACATGTGTATTTGCATATATATGTATGTATATATGTATGTGTATGTGTATATACACACACACATATATTTTTTTTTCTTCATCCCTAGCACTTGGCACAGTGCCTGGCACACAGTAAGCTTTTAATAATTGCTTCTCTGCCTGATGGACATTTTTCTGTTTAGTTTCAGTTAGATTGACAGGTAGTATAGGGTCCTCTCTTCTTCCACTTTGTGTGTGCACATATAGATGAATATATGAGCACTCTTTGCTCTCACTTGGTATATGCTATATATGTTATTTTGAAACCCAGGAGTGTCTATAAACAGATTATACAATATATTATTTATTTAGAGGTTTTTATTTCTCCCCTCTTCTAACATGTCACGTTGTTTCTGCTTGGCCTTGAATGATGATTTCACAAAAAAATTCCCAGTTTAATTTGTTTGTTGTTAGCTGGGTATTTTAAACATCGAGGAAGCAAACCAAATCATATGTGTTTCTGCTTCCTAAAAAGGAAGGGATAAAGACGGACTACATAAAATGCTACTCAATACTGAGGTTTTAGATAAGGAAAAAAATATGGCAAACTTAGAAGCTTTCCAGAGGGCCATTTCCAGAGCAACTCACCTAGTGAAAAGCTTTGTCCTAGTCCTGGTGTACATGATGGCGGATGCTTATAAGATTGAATCTCTCAGACTACTCTAGATTGGAAATCTTCAGAATTTGACATGAGTTACTTTGGAGGATTTTCTATTTTCAAACCCTGGTCTTCTCATTCAGTCAGAGGTGCCCCAACTGGCTCTGTCCACTGACTAGCCATGTAGCTTTGGACAAATTACTCAATCTCTCTGTGTCCCAGTTTCTTCAAATGTATTAGACAGCCAATGCCACCTGCCCTACCTTGCACCAATGCCACTTGAACCTATGTTGCAGGGGTGCTTACTGTAAGAATCGGTTGAGATAATTCAAGGTAAAGGGCTTTGAAAAGTGTCACATAAAAGTCAGGTCATGTATGCAGTGAAAGAACAGAGGGTTCCAATCGTGCCTCTGTCACATACTGCTTGTGTGGTCTCAAGGCAAGTAAGTCACTTAACCTCTGTGAACTTCATTTTCCTCATCTGTACAATGACTACATAGCCTCAAAGATTCCTTATCACTCTAAATTTATGATTTTATAATCTTCTATTATTACAATTGCTTCACAAGCCTCTAGGCAGATGGAACCTTATATCCAAGATGATGCCACTAAACGCTTTTACCTGCTGGATCTCTGGATGGTTCCCAGTGTAAATCATCATCTTTTTCCCTGATCCATCCACAAAGACCATGATCAAAGCTGCAGCTGTGGATCAGAACACCTAAAGGAAAGGAGTAAAACAACTCAGTGGATCACAAGAACTAATGCCTGAAGAAAACTCTAAGATGATTGCATTTTCCCCAAAATTCAAATTCCCTTTCATCTTCTCCTTCCCTCTTTCTGCTCCTTCACCATCCCAACTTTGACTCAACCATCTCTCTGAGACCAAATTGGAAACTGCATGAATCCTCTCCCAACACAACTGCCAGCTGAGGCCATTTGTAAGAAGAGACTACAGAAAGTGGTGCCAAGTTCTGACAACACAATTTAGATGCTGCTAGATTCCATTAAACACCAAAGAGAATGGGTTCAAGTGCCTTAACTTCAGAGGAAACAAAGGTGGTGTGAAAAAATCAGAATACATAGCATTCCCGGGAGTCAACAAGTGAAGATTTGAAATAACCATCCTTGGAAAGGGGAAAAAAGGAATAAAAGCTCATTAACATGTAAATAGGGATGCTGGAATCTACCTGGATCATCTCTGGCTTCATCTTCTGCACTGATCCCTCTTTCAATTTCAAATATTTCAAACAGGTCATTGTTCACTCCAGGCTGGCGAGGAACTGCAAGAGAAAGTCATTTTTTTTTAAATGAAGGCGGTAGATAAGGAAGTAGGTCACTAAGTACCATTATCTTTAATGAGGGACAGAGAAAGAATGCCTAAGGCATTTTACTCCTCTTGGAGAACCCAATATATTTAATTACATTGCCCATGGAGATTCATAAACTTTGCTCTTCAGTGATTTATGATGTAAGAGTTATCTGAGCACAGTAAAAATTGATTTTCAAAGTTTCTAAACTTCTATAGAAAAAAAAACCTAAAAAGTCTTCAACTGGACAGTGTTTTATTAACAAATGTTTTGGCCTTGAACTTGCTAATTTCTAATCAAATGTGTCAAACTAAAAGGCCTGTCTCTGAAAGAGATGAATTATCAGAGCCCCTGAATTCAAGCTGTGTTAAGCAGAAAGGACTGCAATTATAATGAATGTGGAAATGTTACAGTCTACATTGTTTACAGTAAAAAATCCTTTGCAATGAAAACTAATGGCAAAGGACCGGGATAGAGTTTGTTTCCTGATGGAAGTTAGAAATGACTGCTACCTGACCTAAAAATCTGCCTAAGATCATCGATGCCACTTTTCAAAATGAAATGCACTTGGAGGTAGGAATGTTTGTAGGAGCCTGTTTCAGGGCACTCTCCCCAGGTGCTGAAGTGGTGGAAGGGTTAGGAAGATGGGAGGAAGAGAGAGAGAAAAAAAAATATGTTTTTATTTCTGTTCTTGATGTATCTTCTTGGTAAATATCCCTTTGTAAAAGTTGTATTTTTTAAAACAATTGTTTCTTTTAAATTAACTATAACTAGAAAATATGAACCTAAAGAACCAGGAAGCTGGCAGTTATTAGACCCTCAGCTTGTTCATTTCCATGTTTCTTGTCTTAGGTTCCTACTGCTTTTCCCTGACACCTGGGAACCATCTGATTTAGCATCTGATTATGCACAACTACACACTCAAATACTGAGAAAGGGAAATGTTCTTTAGAAAGCAGAAACATGAAACCATGAGGACCCCTTCACATTCCTCGAGCTTTGGATTCTAGGGCCAGCAGAAGCAGTATGTATATAGATTTACCATAAATACTCTTGAGCCTGCACTGAACTGTTATAAATAGGATTAAAATCCCATATAGCCTTTGTTAGAGGGCAATTTCACAGACACAAATGTCTTTAGGATGCCTTATAGCCTCTTTCCATACAGCGTGACCATGCTAAATTTAGGTCTTAAAATACTACTTTCAAAGGTTAAAAAAAATACATCAAACTTCTATTGATCCAAGATATAGTCTAATAATCCCTCTCTTTTTGAGAAGAAAGTCTCTATCCACATCCCTCTCCTGGTAAACTTATGGCTGGAAACTATGAAACAAAGGCATAGCTGACAAAAAGAAGCATGTAAGACACACAACTTTTTTCTTTCTAAAGCAAAGTCAACTTCTTTGGCCCCTTCAGTGTGGTATTTTCCATGACACAAAAGAACAATTCTGCAGCTGTTTGTGTGAAGGGGAACTGGCCAGTGTGGGGCCCAGTCCTCAGACCATGTGCAGGAGGGTTCTTTGAGCTACCTATCACCCCACAGGTGATTTGCTGGAATCTGAAAATGGAAATGTGTGATAGTACATGGAGGGGCCTATCCCAAATTCAGATTATGATATGCAATAATTTGACTATTTCCTAGTGGCTTACCACAGAATTAAAAATGCCTTTTAGGGGCAGCTAGGTGGCGCAGTGGATAGAGCACCGGCCCTGAAGTCAGGAGGACCTAAGTTCAAATCCGGCCTCAGACCAAACACTTAACACTTACTAGCTGTGTGACTCTGGGCAAGTCACTTAACCCCAATTGCCTAAAAGCAAAAATAAATAAATAAATAAATAATAAAAATAAAAGCCTTTTAATTGTCTGCTGATGCCAATTAAACCCACCATCACCATTTCCCAGCCACCTCTCCCTTGAAGAACCTAGCCTTTCTCACCGTTGAAGATCCCTCCACCCCTGAAGCTCCTTCCTCTGATTGGTTAGTTCCTCTTGGAATCTCCATCTTAAGAGCCTAAGCTAGCCATGTTCCCTCCTTCACTCCTCTTCTGGCTCTGTTTCTGGCTCTTCCTTTTTTACTTCTAAATGGATACCACCTCCCCATCAACCCCACTTTCAGCTTGGAATTGTCTTTCTTTTTGTTTGCATACTTATTCCCAACATTTAGCACACTACCTGGCACTTAATAATTGCTTAATCAATGTTTGTTGACTCAATTCAAAGAGGTGACACTGGGAGTGTATACAAAAGACTCCAACAGGAGGAACTTGAGTTATCTCTCAAATGAACTTTTCCTTTCTCTGGCTCTGGAGTGTTTATTCTTCCTTAATCCTAATTCTCCTAATTGGAGCCAGAACTTTCTCTACCAATGCAGTTCAGCACGTGCTCTGCAAATTATAGCCTCAGAGAGTTGCCAGTGGTACTAAGAATTAAGTGACTTCAGTGCCGTAGGACCATCATGGGTCAGAGGCAGGACTCTAACCCAGGCAGCTTCTCAATAGAAATATTTCAAAACAAACACAAATGCTTTCTCTCATGCTTTCAAGCATAACACTTTAGCTAATCAAACAAAAACTTTTAATGCCATTTCACCAATATTATTTAGGTGGATTAAACCCAAACATAGAAGTCCTAGAATTCACAAACATGTAAGAGTTTTGATAAATGTGTCTAAGGATAACAAGTTCATTACTACATTATATCTTTAGAATTACACCCAAATTTCCTCCAAACTGTATCATCTTTAACATAGGCATCCTCTGTGTGGATGTGGCGTGGTCTGGCTTCTCTTCTCTTTGTTTTTGTTGGAGTCATTTCTACCACTTCATGCATTCCACCAGAGATTGTGATGTGGGCTGGGGATCAGGACAGGAGCAAAGGAGGGTGTGTCAGGAAGCATTGTATATTGGATAGGGAGCTGACCTTGGTGCCAGGAAGACCTAGGTTAAAGTTATGTCTCTGCTGTTGTTGTTCAGTCGAGTCCAATTCTTGGCAAAGATACCGAAGTGGTTTGCCATTTCCTTCTCCAGCTCAATTTGCAGAAGAGGAAACTGAGGCAAACAGAGTTAAATGACTTGCACAGAGTCACACAGCTAGTAAGTGTCTGAGGCCAAATTTGAACTTGGGAAGAGGAGTCTTTTTGACTCCAGGCTGGCACTGTATCCACCACCTAGCTGCCCCTTACTTATGCTTGGAAGTTGCAGAAAAGGTACCAACCTGCATTGGTAGATGGAAGTTTACTCACCTGGAAGTTCACAAAGAAAACACACATTTAGTTCCTATACACACACACACACACACACACACACACATATATGTATACATATGTATATCTGTGTGTATAGGCACACATACCCACAGATACACATAAACACCAATATATGAAGAGTTCCACTCCTACTGAGCATACGTGGGGATATGCCTGAAGAGTTATGTAAAATAGACTTAAGTTTTGAGTAATTTCCCCTAGAGCTACAAGGTAAGGGTATGAAAAGTCAAAGAGTATGAGGAAAAAGAGCCTGAAATCTCTCTTTAGGGGTCAGGCTCATGCAAAACAGAACCTGGTCTGCATGAGTGGGCAGAGATGGGCAGAAGAGGATGAGAACACACACACACAGAGCTAAAACATTTTTCTTCTTCAATTGAACACAAAAAGAATATAAAAGAAAGGTGGTTTGTTGTTGTTATTGTAAGTCAAAGTGGGGGGTAGTAGAAAGAACAATGGACTTTGCATTAGGAGGCTCTGAGTTCAAATCCTGCCTCTGACATTTCCTGGTTGTGTGACTCATTTGTAAAATGAGGACAGCAATAGCACCTGCCTCAGAGGATTGGTGCAGAGGTCAAATAATACACACAGAAGGCTCTTCAGATCTGAGAGCCTTACAGAAGTTAGTTATTATGCCTACAACAGTATTATTTTTGACAGACATCTATCTGTTAGATTTAAAATAAGAGAGTAACAGGTTCAGAGGCAAATGTTAGAGGTTCTCAGCCCTCTTTTATGATGTATATGAAATGAGGGGCAGCTAAAGAAATCACTTCTACATATAAGCGATTTCTTATAAGAAACTCAAATTTAGGTGTAGTCCATTAGTCTCCTCCCTCTCCCTCCTCACTCCCCACAAATGGAGCTTCATGAATACATATCTCTGGTGAGTTCTTTAACATTAAAATAAATTTAGATCATGAGAGGATGCTTATTATTTAACATTATGAAATATAACAACTTGAAGGAATTACACACAAGCACACTATGAGAATGTTCAAGGAAGGCTTTTTACATCCATAGTGGAATGTAGATTGGTTCCACAGACAAGCCAAACGAAACTCTTTTCTCTAATGCTTAAGACATCTTTTCTCCCCCTTGAAATGGTCACACCTTACCCATAATGGGCAGTTTAGAAAGACAGTCTGAATTAGTCTGGATTAAGGAATTGTAATTCCATCACTTTCGGATGTGTGCAATAACTTGAACTTGAGTCTAATAGAGCTCTTTAGGGGAATTTCGATACTTGCAATTTTGATGATCACTTCCAGCTTCCCAATACTACAGTCTTAGGGTTCTGCTATTTGTAATTAGCATACTAATTATATACGGGGTGTCCCAGAAGTTCTAAGGAAGCTATTAAAGTTTAAAGCTGCCCTGAGATTTCTGGGACACTCTGTATAAATGGATTCTTCTAAATTTAGAAAATACCTTCAAGTATTTTAAACAATTCCCTACCATCTTGTTTACACTGTTAATTTGCACTTGACAAGCTCAACTATAGCCAAGCTTCTTCCTGAATTAATATAGACTCCATATTAGGACAATCTGAATTAGTAAGGATTTGTAGTATTTATATAATCGTGGAATATTTTAGTATTCAGTTTACCATTACAGGCTACATATTTATAAAAAGATTATACACAAAAGACATACATAGCTTAGATACAAGAAAAAAAAGCTAGACCTGGGATTTCATGAGTGTGA